CAAAGTGTCTGGCAGCCGCTGTACAAGGTGGTTGGCCAGCAAGATTTAAAAAGTTCAAAGTATATAATGCTTTATTAAGAACATTTTGAATTGATGGGAGGCCGGGGTGTTTTTCTCCTTTTCTAATTTTTTCAAGAAGATTTTTCAAAGTTTGGTTGGCCCTTTCTACAATTCCTTGTCCCTTGGAATTGTATGGAATTCCACATTTATGTACAATGGACCATTTGTTGCAAAAGTCCGCAAAAGCAGAACTAGTGTAAGCAGGACCATTATCTGTTTTCAGTTCTTTTGGGCATCCCATCGAAGCAAAGGTACGAATACAATGATTAATAACATGTTTGACTGTTTCTCCTCTCTGTGGAGAAGCCATAACGAAGCCAGAATAAGTATCCAAAGAAACGTGAAGATGTTTCCATGGGGCAAAGGGTGAGAATTGGGTCACATCCATTTGCCACAATTGGCATGCTTCAGTGCCCCTGGGGTTAACTCCAAGAGGTACTGAAATGCCTTGTTCACTGCAACTGGGACATTGTTGTATGATTGCAGAGGCTTCGCTATGAGTAATTCCAAATTGTTTAACAAGAGCCTTCTTGTTTTGATGAAAATAGGCATGGCTATCCCATGGCAGGAGAGGTGTCAAAGCCATGACAGTGGAAGCAGCTGAGGCTGCTGCGTCAGCAACATTATTACCTTCCTGTAACATACCAGGAAAGGGTTGGTGACTTCTGATATGAGCAACAAAAAAAGAACAGGTTCGCTGAGAAATTAATTTCTGTAATGTGATAATGAGTCCCAGCAAATCATCATCCAAATTTGGGGATAAATAGGATAAAAATATATTTTTCACAATTTGTGTAACATATAAACTGTCCAAAATCAAATTAAAAGGTTTGTTGCTAAAAACTTGAAAGGCCAAAATAGCAGCAGCTAATTCAGCACGCTGGGCTGACTGTTGGGGGTGTGTGATTTTAGTGTGCCATTGAGAATCTGAATACCAGGCACATGCACCAAAAGTTTTTCCTCCATCTGCAAAAACAGTAACAGTGTCGGAAATAGGAAGAGTGGAAATTGGTTGATGCCAATTAAAAGGTATTGTTTTTAGCAGAGAAAAACGTGGGTCTGCAGGTGGGTGACATGAAATTTTTCCTGGCCATTCTGTTAAGGCATTTTGTAAGGTCTCTGAATTGACATACATAACTTCCCAGTCCTGTAGGGAGCAGGGAATAAACAGCACGCTAGGTACTACTGCAGAAATAGTTTTTGAACGTAAACGTGCTTTCATTATTAATTGAGCAAATTGCATGGGTTTAGGATTTATTGTTTTACTAGGAGTGTGTGGCAAATGCAACCACTCAAGAATTAAAACTTGTTTGGGTATTTGAGCTAAAACAGCAGTTGGAATACGTGGAGTATTTAATAAAATTATGACAATAGGAAAGTTGTCCTCACAGCGGTCCACCCATCGCTGATTAAGCAAATTCTGGATGTCTTCCAAAGCTTGCAACTGTAAGGAGGAAAATTGTACAAGATCCCCTGGATTCTTTGCATGTTTTAGTGCGTTAAAAAGAGGGGACAATTGGTGGGTGGAAATTCCAAAATAAGGACGAGTCCAATTTAAAGTGCCCAAATATTGTTGTAACTTCACCAATGTAGTCTTTTCAGCCAAAGATAAGATAGGAAAGATAGGTGCAGAATGAGAGGAAAGTAACTGATGGCCCAAATATTGAAATGGTGAACAAGTCTGAACTTGTTTGTAGCTCCTGAACAGGAGCTACAAACAAACCTCCTTTTTTTAAGATGGATTGCAACATTGTTAGTTTAGCTGCAACTGTCCCTTCTGGCCCTGGGGCAGCAATTAAAATGTCATCCATATAATGATATATTAGGAAGGTCGGATTGAGTTGATTTAACTGTTCCTGAACCAACAAATGCAATGCTTGTAATTTTTCTTTAGTCAAAGGCCATTGATCAATCCAAACAGGTTCTTTATTTAAAAGAGTCAATTTTAAAGGTTTAGGGTTACTCATTCCAAAATCAAACGAGCCCCTAGCTGGGACATAAAATCTCTGCCCCACAAATTTATATGGAGAGGCAATACAATTGGTTTAATTTGCGCTACCCCTTCAACTCCTTGAGCAGTAGCAGAAAGCCAATTTTTACTAACTCGAGCAGACTGCACCCCCCCACGCCTCTTACCGCAGGGGAAGTTTCAGTTTGCCAAGAGGGGGGCCATTCGGCTTCTCGAATTACAGAAACATCTGCTCCGGAGTCCAGAAGACCAGAAAAATGAAAACCCTTAATAAAAACCACAAGCGTGGGTTTAGTTTCAGTTAGAAATTTGGTCACTGCCAATGCATCAGGGGTGTTTTCTGATGTTTGAACACCCAGTCTCTCGCTCAAACAATCACCTGACAAATCATTTTTGGGGGGGACTAAAATTAATTTTGCAACTGCCATTCCACGATCCAATATTTGTGCCATATTTGAAACAAGAGATACATTCATACAATCAAGAAAACTAGAATCACAAACAAAGGGAACAGCAGAAACACCTTTAGTTAAGGCAAGAGGGTGGCATTGAATCACACCAATCCATTGTTCCTTCAAACAATGCTGCACTTTAGTCATATTTGTGTTTGTCTGCATGGTTTGGACATCCTGGGGAAAATCAAATTGTACCGGATTCACAAGTTGTAAATCATAGCAAGTTTGTTGTTGAACTGGGTTCAGTCGTGATGCAACCTTGGGAGTGGGGCTAGTTGCGGGCCCCTTATCTAGTTTCCCGAGTCAGCAAGCTTGACCCTGCACTGGTTTGACCAGTGAAACCCTTTTTTACATTTTGGACAAACTGTTTTTGGCTTGGATTCTTTAGAATTGGCTGCCTTAGAAGCCCCACCGCCAGAAGCACGACACTGTGCCTTAAAGTGTCCTGGCTTTCCACAATTAAAACAATTTCCAGATAGCTTATTGCCTTTTTGGATGGCTGCTGACAATAAATTTTTACAGTCTGCATTTGCATTTTCATAGGCCAATTTTATCAAAATTTCATTTTGCGCTTGCACATGTGTAATTTGTCGTGAAACAGCAATTTGAAGCCGTTCCACAAAGTCTGCATAGGGCTCACTTGCCCCTTGTAAAATTTTTGCAAAAGATTGTTTGTTTGTGCCAGCATCATCTACCCTGGATAAGGCTTCTAATGCAGCCTGTGATGTTAAATTATAGCTTGCAATTCCCAATTGATATTGTGTTGTTGGAT